AGTACAAATCTTATAAGGACTTCTACCGACAGTATGAAAATGGATGAAATCGTAGGATAACCCCGCTCACTCCTCTTTTAACGGTTCAGTTAAAAACTGCTAAAAGCGTGATAAATCAATAACGATAGGCGTGGCATCGCCCACTTTTAGGTAAAATCACATATCTCAGGGCCTGGTCGACCGATTTTAATCAAGTTTGGTACGTAACTTTCTTCTAAGGTTCGTATGTCACATGGGCAAAATGGGCGAAATTGGACTACACCCACGTCTACTTCCCATATAACTCAATTTTAAATAATATTTAATTCTTTTACTTTCTAATATACAAATCGAGATGCAGTTAATATAACGAGATTAAACTTTGTAATAGTAATAATAATACCTTTAGAGTATGCCACCTAATGACCAAAACTGTCCAAATGGAATGGTTGACTTTTTACTGTAAATATTGGTCATTGTGTGAGCTACATATATAATTGAAATCTAGGAATAGTCTTTTCCTGTTCTAAAAATGGGTTGAATCGCGTTAGTACTTCCCTAAGCTGCCATATACCTAATATTGGGTAGTTGAAAAACTCTATTCGTATTTCTAATCAAACTGCAACTTATTTTTTTATATTTATAGTAATAAATAAATATACAAATCTAAACCATTTTGGTTTTTCCACTTTTTGCCATTTTTCCGATAGAGACATTATTCCATATGTGTGAAACTTTCATCAGTGTAAATCGAAATTTCATGAACAGAAGCGAGCGAACCGTCTGCTACACGAACTGATACAGCATTGTCTCCGTAAACTTCACAAATTTTATTGGTGGCTTGCGTGGCATTCTTACTTTTTTTATAAAAAAAAATTTCAAAATATAGTTACAACTTCCCGAACTTTTTTTTTTGTTAAATTAAGCTTAAAACCTCACCTTTCCAAGACTATATGGTCATGACACAATATAAAGATTTTCGAACTTCCAGGTGACTTTATCTGACTTTGAGTTATCTAATTGAAAACGAGAGAGCGTGTTTTGCTGATAACAGTGTAACTTTGTATGTACCTAAAATAGATAAAATTTAACGTAAACTTGACCATGCCCCCATATAACAAACATATAAAATCCGGGTGACCTTTCTCCATATGAAGGTATGTGCGGTATCTTAATGAATCTAAGATAATTAACATAATATAATAGTATATAATATTGGAAAAAATATACAAAATCGAATCGACAATACCCCCAACTCTCATGTACTACCTTTGTTTAATGATTTTCGTTTTTCTAAAAAACCTTTTGTCATATAGTAGGTATATGAGGGTCTGCTCCTCTGGTTGACGTTTTACATCTTAAGGTATTTCCCTGGGTATGATTCTTGGAAGTTGCAAGAATATAAAATTTTCGGTTATACCCGAACTTAGACCTTCTTTACTTCTTTAAAACTAATTTACGAATACACCAACATTTTATTTGAGCAATGAGTTTTCAGAATTGTACATGTCACGTGACAGAAGCATAAACGGGAAATAATTATATGTTCATGTGTTTCCCGATGCATCGCTGCAATGTTATGTTAAGATATCATTTGCATATATAAGTAGTATGACTAAAGTCAACAAAGTATATTGCTTTGCAACATCTATCATCTCCTATAATTTTTGTAAGTTAATAGTTATCAACATTTTCATTTACTTACCTCATTCATCATATTATATGTAATATGTCATAACTAATCGCCTGAAGTGGTTGATTAATGACTCTTGATAATATTGTATCATTAACTGGAGTGGATTTGGAAAATTACATTTGATTATTATTTAATAATTGTAAAATGAAACTAAGATTAGTTGTTAAACCTTTCAAGACCCTAACAGGAAGTGACTGGCACCAACTTTGATGCACAAACTGCGAGAGTTGAGTTGTGAGTTATTTAACAGAAATTAATGAAAGAAAAAACATAAGCGGACAAATCCTTTTGAAACATCCAATCATTGATTTTGGAAAAGTAAGTTTCATAAATTTAGAGGGAAAAAACTTTCACATAGTATATGAATTGTACATAAAAATGTGTCGTGAATGTTCCAAGGAAGCACTGAAAGTGCTGAAAAGATGGGATCGTTGTAAACCTGAATTGGCATAAAACAATAAGAAACGTTAACTGAAGCAATATTACCCTTCATAGGTTCAAGTTTTCGTACAAGAACTTAATTTCGATTGATCACTTTGTATAGCAGCTATATGGTCTATTGTTCCGTTCTAAACAATTCAAAGATTGTACCAGAGCCTAATTTTCTGAAGATATCTCATTAAGTAATCCGATTTCGATACTAGAATTTCATTTTGATTGTTTAGTTTGTATGGCAGCTACTTATATATGCTATACTAGTTCAATATAGGCGTTTGCAACTCGTAGGCAGCTTCTCGGAGAGAAAAGAACGTGTGCAAAATTTCAGATCGATATCTCAAAAACTGGACTAGCTCGCATATGTGTAGAGAGGCTGATAGGAGGCTATGGCTCAATCGACACAGCTCTTCATGCTTATCGCTTATATACTACACATTTAGTAGTATTTGATATGGTAAGAACCACAAGTCTGCCTTCTTTGGTGGTACAAATTTCGTAGCAAATTTTCTTCGGATGGTAACATTGAACTAGATTTATTTGTTACCCGTACTTATGAACCCTTAATTCTTTTTCCCCTACTTATAACTTACCGATGTTGAGAGCTGCAATTTTCCGCTTAAAGATTTTAATGGACTAGTCCGCGTACATTTTCCGTACCGACTGATAACCTTTATGGCACATATTTTAGCATTATATAGCAATTGCAGAGAAGATTGAAAACAACTGCCATAACAACATAGATGAGCCAGGCAGTGATGCATTACTGCATTCATTGTGCTTTCATGTTCTCTATTTACTTGCCACTGTTAACATTGATTGAGCGTTGCGGCTTTGTGAGCATTGCTCGGTGAGTGTGAGTACATCGTGTCGATACGCGCGACTGCATTGCTACGCCATAATAGACCAACCAACCATCATCGTATTTAATTATCGCAGAGGTTTGCCATTTAAAGGGGTGCATACTAAAATACCTAAACCATAAGGTTTATGGAATGTTAAGGCTGCAGAGTGTACTATATGTAAATATGTCAGCATGAAAACGCCGTAGTGTTGGCAGAGTAACAGTTTTTATTAAATATAGTAAATATAAGTTTAGTCGGCAATTGTCACACACTTGGCCCATAAATGGCTCCAATCAGTTGCAAGCTATGGTATTTAATCAATTACATGCTGCAAACTCTGCTATGCAAATAATTTGGCTTATTTAAGGCTACACGAAATATTAATTATAAAACGCAGTTTTGAGTAATAATTATCGAGTTGTCAATTTGAGGTCATCCAACGGTATGCCCAAGAAACTTGCTGTTTCGACGTGGTTGGAACATAAGAAGAGGCGTATCAGATGTGTAGGGTTAGCAGCGCATGCAAAGAAGTGGTTAGTGTCGTGCGGAGACTTGTTGTACGCTAGATATATAACATTTTGATGCTCCCAGGTGACTGCACTGATGATTGATATGAAAGCATCCTAGCAGAAACTGCTTGTAGAGAACTTCATTATGCTCCTTAACTGAGAGCATACATGCCTCACTATGCAGGTGTTCGATGGAAGACATCAAAAGACATCCTTTCTAGTCCAGCGGGCAGTGTCCTGCAAGTTTGCACCTTCATTTGGCTAGCGACTTGAGGATTTTGTAGCGGCTCTGTGCTTTGGCAATATGTTATACCTTAAATCTTAGGGTTATTGACAGTTGGAATTTTAATGCCATCGACTGCAATGTTTAAGGTCAAGTCTGTACTCCTTCGTTCAGTTAGTGTATATAATCGCGCTAGATTTAGTGGGGAGAGTTTTAGGTTCCATGCAGCGAGGAAGTGAAAAAGGTCGGGGATGCCATCAATTACATTGCCCGACGTCATTATCGTGCAATCGAGAGGTGATAGAAATTCCCTCTGGTGGCTGAGGTAGTTTCGAGAAGTATAAGTTATACACCCCCTGCGAAACCAACTGTTTAATTTTTCTCAATTCAGAGTTTTTATCTCGAAACAGTATGGATGATTGTCGACCGTTTAGGTAGGTCATAGTCCACCTCTTCAGCCCTGAAGGGAGCGTAAATTTTTCGATGTCCTTAAGTAGCGTTATGTGGTCCTGTGGCTTCTGAAAAATTCAACGCTACGAGGATCATTCTCTCGCATTGTGATTTTGGTTGAGGCCACGTTTATGACACCAAGTGGTGTGGTAGTCTGCACTTTTCGGAAGCCATCCTTTGGGTTTGCTAGACTCAGGCATTATCTGTCTCAAAAAATGGCTCAAAACCCTTTGTCTCTTTATAAAGGCCATTTTGACCAATATTGTACTAGTACTCGTAGTATAGACAACACAAAATACTGACATTATGAGTTATTCAAAATGATCCCTGTTAGAATCACCCTCTTAACCTAATCTTACCCTATAAAAGCTCGTAACGATTTAAGATCTTATTTAAGCAAAGTCCGCGCAATCAGCGATTTTTGACCTTTTCTCATAGTGACATTGTCACTCAAATGGGCTTTGAGTTCATGCTTGGCATCAGTTACAAATTTAAATTATGAATTACCTAAGATTTCCTCGCATCAATAAACAATGAAGATTGGTAGTAAAATAAAATTAAAAGCTAACCAAAAATGTTTACTTCTTATTTAAATATTAACAATATAAAGATTATTATGGTAATTTTGGACGTTGTTATCTCATTCCTATAAACGCACTGCTCAAACAAATAGTAACGGTTATAACTTGAAGGCATGCATTTTGCTATTTAGGTAGCTGTAGGCTTCTGTTCGTTTATTTGTGTTATTTGTATGTATATTTATACCATTTACACTTATACTATATATATACATGTATATATTTGAGTGCTTATATTTACTTTTCTCTAATTAAGACCTTCGTGTTTTGTTTACGTTTTTACAGAAACTACACCAAATACGCAGAGGATACAACATCGCGTGACAGTGACTCGCTGATCCAGGAGTACGGCAACATACCCACAGAGGAGACAAACACATACTGTTGGCGGCATCCGAAGGTGCGCGAAAACTGGCGAACTGTTTTAGCGGCTGTCACTTTGCTGATTGTCGGCACTGGACTCTTTGTATTCGGCACATTCGCTGTCGCAGATCCGGCGAACACATCACAGGGTGTGGTGTTCTTTGTTGCCGGCCTAATCTGCTTCATACCGGGCGCCTATCATGTCGTCTACATTTGGTTGGCAGCCAAGGGATACAGAGGGTTCGACTTTTACCACCTGCCGTTGTTTACATAAAACAACGACGACGCCAACACCGTCGACTACCAAGCTAGATGGGTAGACAACAATGACGATGACGATGAAGACGATGACAACAACGACTACAACATGGGTGAAGGCATTAATCAAGACGTTGGCCATGACAATGATAAAACCGATAGCAGAATGGCTTAATACGCAACGAGTTGTATATATTTTATATATGTACATGTATGTACGCGTATGTTTATTCAGCATAGCTTGACATTATCCTTTGCTTTCGGCGTTGTTTTGTCGTCGTCTTAGAGATTTGCGTGTTGTGTGTTGACCGGCGGCATAGTCGAAATATTCAAACAGAGCTAATATTACGGTCGAAGTAGTCTTCGCCGCACTTAAAATGCAGCTAATTTTTTGTTACTAACATCGCAACATCGTCATTACATCTTAACTAATTTGTGAAGCAAGGCAGTTTCCCAAATAAACACATTAAAAAATCGTATTGCCTAGCGGTCGCGCACCACCACCATGCGTACACATGTCATTTTGTCGTTGTGGAGTTTGACTAAACACTCACATACACACATATACATAGTTTACTTTGGCCCGGTGGGCAAAGTGCACGCCAAATTTATATGACTTAGAAGGCTGCGTCTCTAACTCATCTTAATATCTAGTTAAGATATACTAAAAAACGCTTCTGATATTACATAAACGGTATACTATAGTAAAACGTAGAAAGCAATGAAACAATAAGTGTCACTCTCTTAGTTTTATTACACTTACGAAATTCTAAATTTCACTATCGCTGATAAATAGTTTTCTATGTATTTAGTTATGTATATTTAGCTGTGTAACTAAGTGTGAACAGAAATTCGATACTACTTGCATACGAATGGCTACAAATTGCATATGGAAAACGAACTGAGAATAAGTAAAATACAATAAAAGCGAGCAGGGAGCGTTCGACAAGCAGAGTTGAAAGAATTCTAGGCGGGAGTTCGTGGGCATGCTCTAGCGACTGAAGAAAGAACAAAGCCAAAATTTGTCATAAATCCAAGCACGTAGCTGATATTTAGTACAGTCATCTTAATATTTCGCTTGTAATCCTGTGAAATGTCTAAAAAAAATTATAAAAATTAATAAGTCAATAGTGTCCAAACGACTCCCTTGTAATATTTTCAAACAAAATAATAATAATAATGTAAAATATGCAAAAGTTAACAACAACGCCTGCACGCCACTAAAAATTAAGAATTATAATAACAACTAAGCGTTTATGCCGAACTAATAAGTGCACACACATTTTTAGCAAATTTAAGCAAACAATTTTGTAATACAAAGAACGGGCAGTCTTGAAGGCACAGTTTTGAAAGCAATGCTTGCGAGAAATTAAATTATTACGTGCTTAGATTTACTGATTAGCACTGACTTTTCAAAAAAAAATTTAAATTGAAATCGTTTGGCCCCCTAAACAAATCGTGTCACTAACTGAAAGTTATCTAAAGGTAGTTACGATAATTGTGCATAGCATACGACCGCCAATCTATTCTCCATAAGGACTACAAACCCGGGAGTAATTGTGCTCAATCTCCCACCACTCTCGGTCACTGATGATGTAACTAAATCCCGTTTCAACGTGTCAATCCATTCTTTATATCGTCATCTAACATGAAAAATAACGTAACTTCATTTTTCATAAGTTTACAGGCGAAGAAAAACCAAATAATAGAAACCACTCACATTGGCATGAAATCTGTGTTTTGGTTATAAAATGGTTATACATCAATTATAAATTGGTTATATCTGCTATACATATGTTATATTATGTAGTATGTTGTAAACAATAAAAAACTCGACCACTCACACACTGAAACAAAATTTGAGTTTTGGTTATAAAATTGTTATTTATTGGTTATATCAGCAAACAATCTGCTACACATACATATGTTATATAATTTAGTATATCATAAACAATATAAAACTAAATTTCGATTTTTTTTGGTGATACGTTGTTTTGAACTTTAGCTGACGATATAATTATTCTGGCTTGTTGAAGCGTTCCTAAAAACGCACGTTCTTCTTTTAAGTCCACACATTCGTCCAATTGATATTTTGCTGCTCGAATTTCGAAATCTCCTTGGTATGCAAATGAGTTCAGAGTGTTGTTTATTTTAAGGTTATGTTTGGCAGAATACATAATATTTGAATGTATTGTTGCGAGTGCATGTGTGTGTATAATGCGAAGACTTTCTTTTTGCAATGCATTTGTATAATTTTGAAAATATTGAAAAAAATCAAATAACAACAAGAAGACGACATAATTAGCTTAAGTCATAACATTTAACTCTAAGTAATAATCAAATAAAACTCGATCAGGCTTTGTAGCAACCAACTACATATGTACATAAGTGTATGTAAGCTGCAATAGCAGCAAGCCGTTTAATCGAATGTGTTACATAAGCTTAAGAATTAAGAAAACCAAAAAATTTACTTATATTTAAATATATTTTTTTATAAAAAATTTTCCATTTTTCGTTACGCCCCACAAATTGAGAATTTAATTTTACCATTTTGTTTTATTTACATACATACACATACATACATATATACTTGATGTAAAAACTGCATTCGCATGCGAAATAAATTGTGAAAAAGTTTAGCGCGCTGCAAAGGCAGTGAAATGGTTGTAGAAAACGAGAAACTATTGCAGCATGCAAAATTTGCGAATTTGAAAACCAAATTTGCTTATTTTTGTGTCGAGCAAAGTACACTTGCGATATTTACTTTTAAATTATTAATTGCTAATTATCATTAGCCTAGTATTTAGGTAATCAATCAATGTCCCTCCACTATTTCTGGCAAATATTTTTTTTATTTCGTTTAAAATTTTTATATCGATTTATATATACATACATATATATATAATGCATAATGTACACTTTTAATGCAGGCAATAAGCGATAATAAATATCTCGATTCTTATTTAAAGTAAAATGAAAATTTTGTTTTCTAATTTCTTCGGCACAGCACGGGTAAAGTATCATTTGAATGTTCCAAATAATCGGTGCAGAGCTAATTAAAATATCTTCTCCTTCCTTATTGGCGCTTATGCGATTATATTCGAGTTTACCACACCGCCCCAGTCGGTTTTTTCTTTTCGCAATTTGGCGCCGATGCGAGACACCAAGCTAGGTCCTTATCCACCTCATCTCTCCAACGGAGTGAAAGTCTTCCTCTGCTTCCTCCGTTCACTACCATACCCATTTGCTTCGCTTCCTTATCCATTCTGAAGAATACAGAACTAACGGCGCAGTTGTTGAGGCCAATGGTATCAATAAAATCTGCTTACGTTCTTTATTCGGTAAATTAAAGATGTACAATAAGGAGTTGCCTTCCTTCCCATCCTTCCTTCCTTCCCGTTCCGGACGGAGCTTTTGGTAGCCGTATTAGTTTTGTGGGGATACCAAATTCAGACATCTCGACATAAAGGCACCTCCTTTTCGTACAGTTTGACAGCAGCTTTCAAATCGACGAAGAAATTGTGCGTGTCTATTCTCTTTTTAGTGGTTCCAGGCCTGAAGCCGCACTCCAATCAGTTTGCGGACGGTGGGCTTTAAACTTTCACACAATACGCTCCAAGGTGTCCCCTAGGCCGCTTACTATTTACCCTCGGCCAAAGGATCTTTGACTGCGGAGCTGCTGGTGGTTGAACAACGGGCGCCTCGGTTTGTCCAGCTGTCATTGAGAACGACCTGTCCAGTAAATTCATCAGCCTGGCACCGAGCCAGTCTCATTCAAAGATAGCTCGATGCCAGGCTAATAACGCTGCCCTACTATCGCTACACTACAGTGACCAGGATGCCAAAACTGAAGCTAACGAAAAGTTTCTGACAGTGTACTTCTCCACCAAACGTCTTTGAAAGCTTTGATCCATCCGTAAAAAGCTCGCCCCTCTCCTTCAGTGAGAGCATTTTCTTAGTCTTAAGGCAGCTTTTGCTGCCATATACCTTGATGTTATATCTACCGGCTATAGCTATATGCATCAAGACGTTCAATGCCATAGTTGGAGTGGTTCGTAGTACATCACAAATACTTATAACAGCAGTCCGTTGAACACTCGCCAATTTGTTCGCCAATGTGGTCTTTTCCAACGCCTTCTGCAAAACAAAAATTTCGTATAGGGATTCCTTCCATTAATTGTAGATGCGTTTCGCGATTATAAAATTTTTTTCCGACATTTTTCATCAATTCTAAGATGATTTCCTCAAGCTCACAGAACTTCTGCATATAGGGTGCACCTTCTCCAGTACTCCTTTAAGTTATAAAAGCATATGATTCCATGAACTCTTTCACTAAAGCGGAAGCGACCTATAGACCGAAAGGCCCCAAACCATGTTTTGAAGTAGATCCAGTCTACTAAATAAGATACAAAAACCATAATGATAGGGATCTATTCTATAGCGAAATATAAGTATATACAAAATTTACAATCTGCATTCCATATTAGAAGTAGAACATGGTAGGTATATGCTATACATATATATATATATATATATACTAGGTACACAAGTGTTCTTTACATTGCAGGCGCATATGAGTTCACGAGTGCAACAAAACTAAAGTCAAACATATGCCATTGAACTTAAAGGACAAAGGACTTTCTCCTACAAAACATAACAGTACCATTTGAATAACTGTATTATTGATTCAACAAAACAAAAATGCTTCCGAGTAACCCAGAACTACAGGACGTATACGTGACAGAGAGAATAACAAATATTTCTCAACGGTTATTGATAACACTCTCGTTATACCGTTACTTTGGATGGGAGAATGGAAAGTTACTAAAGTCGCTACAGCAATTGGCACGGAACCATTAAATTGCATACCAAAAAATTTATTTGCACTGTGTTAATGACAGAAATGCGACATTATTAACGCAAATCATAGTTTTGCATGGAGCCGTAAGCTCACCAATTACGGAGCACATCAATTTAAGTGAACAACTGTTTAATTGATTACGAACGTTATAACTTCGGTACATACATTGTGGATATAGAAATCGCGTATGGGTGTTTATGCTTGATGTGTTGTGAACTAATCTAGAAAGCGGTCAGTAGACAGTAGTCAATTTCCAATGCAAGACAGTGAAAGTTCTGAGTTACAAAATTCAATCCACCAACAGTTTCAAAATTGAACTAAAAGTCCTAAGGATAAAAATACATTTATATTTATTTAATGGTCAATAAAGTTCTAGTGTGCTTTGAAGAAATGTATGCATAGACAGATCCGTATATAAGCATAAGTGTTGTATGTACATATGTATTATTTTTACTAAAGATAGTGGTTTTTGTGGTGTATTTTCATTGGAATGTCAATTAACTTTTGTCTGGCCAGGCGCCCTACGCAATTCTATTCTTTATAAATATTTGATGGAATACGTAAGTCACGAGATTGTACGAGGTTGACCTTATTGTTTTATCGGGGTAATCAACAATTCCTTTTTGCCTTTCTAAAAAAGTTCACATGCAACATTACCAGCCATCGGTGAGTAATCCGGCTATGTTTTGGACAGTTCGAGAATCAAAATTTGCCACCAGTTCACGATATTTTTCGGTAATCACTCAATTTAACAAAAAATGCATTGGTTCCACCTGCTTTTTATTGTTTTATGTCAATCATGGAGAATAAATAAGAGATCCAGAACTGTTATATTATGTATATAATGAAGTCCCAATATATCACGGGTATTTTAATAAGAGCGGTATAAAAGTTTTCTTTTAATAAAACAAAAATGGTTTGGGATATCAATGAAATTTTTTATTCCTATGTAAATTCGATGCAATTTTGTATGGAATTCGGATTCTTTTGCATGATCACCACTTGCAAGCTTGCAGAAGTCCAGACGCTGAACCAAATTTTCGACGACTTTCAAGCATAAATCGCCCGATACTGCTGCAATTTCACGAGTCGTACGCAGTTCATCAATCGTCGCTGGCTTTTTGGCTTGACATAGACCCACAGGAAGTAGTCTAACAGTAACAAATCGCACGACCGAGGCGGCCGATTGACTGGTCCATTTCGTGAGGTAACACGTTCATCACACTTTGCTTTCAATAAATCGATTGTGACATTCGCTGTGTGGCTTATGTCACCATCCTGGTGGAACCACATATTGTTCAAGACCATATCATTCAATTCGGATCAAAAATATTCGGTTTTCATTGAGCGGTAGCGGTTCCCATTCTCAGTAACGTGTCGGTCTTGATAATCACGCAAGAAGTACGGCCCAATGACGCTGCCGATCCATAAACCGTACCAAACCGTAATATTTCAGAATACAATGGTGACTCATGGAATACGTGCGGATTGCTGCCTGACAAATAATGCATATTTTGCTTATTGACAAAGCCATTCAGCCAGAAATGAGCCTCATCGTTGAAGATTATTTTCCGCTCCGGAACATTTTCAAGTTGTTGCTCAACCCAAATCAAGAACATATGACGATTCTGTTGGTCGAGCGACTTCAGTTCTTGTGTTGATTTGATCGTGTTAGGATTCGCAAAACTCGTCACAACAACGTCACAGAGATGCCCAACGTTTAAGAACGACGTGTGAGAGACTGATTTGGGTCTTCCTCAATTGATGCGCTAGCGGCAGCAATATTCTCGACACTACGGGCACTTCATTCGCTCACTGGCACGCGAACATTTTGTACTGGGACTGCGAATTAAAAATTTTGCACTAGACGCTCAAATGTTGATCTGCCAGGATGATTATGACGATCATAAATTGGACGTAGCGCTCTTAAAGTTGATGCTACTGACAGCGAATTTCGGTAGTAAATTTTAATAATTTTAACTCGTTTCCATGATGAAACTACTAACTGTACTATAACTGTCAAACTAAGATATTTTTATGGCCTCGTGCGAAATCAGTCAATGAACCTTATCAAGAGTTTTGTCAAATTTGCAAACATTTTGTCCAATCATTATCAAAGCGTCATCACGTGTGATATTGTGTACACAACTGAGTCCAAACGACAATCCGCTGAATGGTTGTTGACTGCTAAAAGTCGGGCGACTACTCTAAGACGACAGAAAAAAAAAAACAAGCGTTTAGGCAGTTTTTTTAGGGATTATGTAATTCTTTTCATCAACGATCTCGAATATTGTAAGACAATCAAAAGACAATATTCCTGTGTATTACTGATTGTTCGTCGAGGTTAATCTCCAAGACTTTTCAACTCATGTAGTATACCTAGCACGCATGTTAAAACAAAGAAACTAACGATCACCCTATAGCACAAATACATGCATATAAATGTTTTTAGTTTCAGTTAATAGGCGGATATTCTTGTCTGTCTTTTTGCAATAGCTTGCAACATAATCATTAAAAATTTAACGGACGACATTGTATTGAAACGGAGAACCATTGTAAAGCACGTAATGGCGACAGAGGCAAACGCAGTTGAACATGAATCCAACGAGTCGGATGAGGACTGTGAGGTATACTGTAAGTCATATTTATAAGCAAGCTACAACAATAAATTTGATGACAGTTATTTACTTAAATATAATTTTAGTCCTCAAACCGGTCAATGAGTACAACATCGTGGAGAAAATCAAAGAAGCGAACAAGGTTTTATTTCAGGAAACGACCGAAGTTAATGAGAATGCAGTGAGTGTAGATGCCATCGACATAGCTGGAGATTCAACAACAGAAACAGAGGCTGGTGTTCCAACGCGCAAAGTGACTTTCGCACCCAATTTAGAAACTTACGAACCGGATAATGCACTCTTGGAAACACTGAAACTTACACGTGAGTTCGAGGAAGCAGTTGCCGAGGCAAAGGAGCTCGATAGAAAATTAGCGACTATTTGTGAATATCAAAGCATTTCCGAAGAAACAAACGCCAACGCCGAAGAAATAAGTAATACAGAAGTTGTTCAAGAAGATATGACAGATCAAAAAGTTGCAGAAACTCTGCCTTTAACAGAGACAGCACAAGAAGATGATGCAATTATGCCGGAGTCAACTGTGGATGTTGCAAGCGCAATAGCTGCTGAGTCAACAGTTCAGCCAGATGTCGAAGACGATATTATGGAAGAGATTTGTGAGGAAATCGTAGTAATGGATATGGAAAATAAGGAAGTAAAATCAGATACCATGAAGATGCCAGTAGACAACCCGCGGCGCATGGTAAAAATGCGTACATTTGATTGCGCCGAAGAAGATCCACCAGATACAAAAGAAGACGAGCAAGACAATAAAAGTCTGACCAACCTACTAACTTCGGATGGTGAAGAAGAGTGCTGCAGTGCTGCCACATTCGATATTAACGACGCCAATAGCGACCTTGACGTAGACGATATTGAAGCGGATACGAGTACAAACGAAGCCGAACACAAAGCAAATATGCATGCCGACGAAGAACCCAACTCCTCGAGGAACGATGTGACAAATACGGAGAGCTATGACCAGGACGACGATGACGATGATCTCTCAATTATAGTAGCCTCTTATCTTCCCGATGATTTCGATCAGAAGCGATTGAGTAGTGGTCGCCGCAAACCGATTAATAAATCGCGGCGCTTACTCGCGCCATTAAGTAAACGCTTTTCTATCCGCGGTAAGTCACTAGCTCGTAATGCCATCGGCACAACAAGCCATGATGTAGATGGATGTAGCAGTGGCCACAGCGCTACATATCGAGCGCGTCGACCTCATTTACCCCCACCGGAAGTGACCGATTTAAAATTGAACTATCGCACCTGCTGTGAATATCGACGTCACTTGTCGCAGCCCGAGAAGCTACCCAAATACACGGGATATCTGTCGGAATATGGACTGAGTCGCCAGCAACTCGAGGTGCGCGAAGAGAATTTGCAACGGCAACAGCGTTTTGTATTGCAGCAGGCATTGAAGGCCAACGATGCGGAGATGCGCAAAATGCAGGACAATGAACGGGCCTTCACCACCTGGTTGCGCAATAAAATGCGTTTTCCCATCAATAAAACCCGCAACATGTTCGATGTGAAGCATCGCAGTCTAGATGCTGGATTTGGCGTTGGCGCTGGCGCTTGTGGCGGCAACAGTGCTGTGCGTAATGCTAGCGGAAAACGGAAATGAAATGACTAGTGAAGTAGTTTATTTCGAGTATAAGGGATCTGCCGTGGAATAGTGAATTTATGTTCAAGTCGAGAATATTGAGAGGCAGGATAGCGAACACAACAAAATACCTTGAATTTTGCTTTTGTATTTGGTTAATCATACGTTAATGTTATAATATCTTTAGTCTTGCTCTGGCCTATGTATTGATTAAATTTGAATTATAGAAAATGTTTATAGTGTTAGTCAAAAATTCTTTGTTTAAGCTTTTTGTCACAATTGGCTTTTGAGGCGCATTTTTCCTCGATCTTTCGCTATAGATAGAAACAGCTAGCAATCACTTGGTGCCAGGTTCGGACTATAAACCACGCCCCACGGAGTTTCTGGCTGGCACTATCCATGTGTGTGTCTTAATAGAACACAATTTCTCTCCTAGTGACCAATTTAGTGTCTGCAGTTAGTTTTTTTCGGAAGTCTGGTCACCTTATTTTCTTATGTCGTCGACGTAGTTGAGGAAGGAACTGTTGATGCTCCTAGGAGGCTCCAAGCAGGTGACGGCAGGAATAATTTCTGCGAAAACTCCCCAGCAGAAACTGCTTGCAGAGCAGTTCATTTAACTGGGAGCATACAGGCGTCACTATGCGGGTGTTCGATGGGAGACATCAAAAGACGAGGAAGCGAGAAAGGTCGGAGAGATAGCCGTTTACGTTTTAGCACACACCATCGATTCCATTGCCCGACGTCATAATAGAGCAATCATCAGCGTATGAGGTAATAGAAATTCCCTCTAGTGGTTGCAGGAGTTTTGAGATGTAGAAGTTAAACAGTAACGGGGAGAGAATACCACCTTGCGGAACCCTCGTTTAAATCTTCTCAGTTTTGAGTTTTTAGCTCGAAGTAGTACGGATGATTGACGACTGCTCAGATAGTTCATAGTCCACGTATTCAGTCCTGGTGCTCAGAGCATCCGAGAACCCTTTGCTAATTATCGAAAACCTCGACAGATATTTGTCGGATTTACTTAAAATTTCCAGAGAATATTTCTAGAATTTTACTTCAAGGATATGTAAAAATATGCTTGAAAATTCTGATTACCACTAACACCTTGAAGATATCATGAAAGGAACATAGCTGTTTTTGACATTATTATGTTCATAAATATATTAACGTCAAGTTGTTGGCTTTGTGCTAATCAAAGAAGCTTATATTATTAAACATATATTGATCATGGCCATGCTCGCTGTACTAAATATTTGATTTCACCTTGAAGATCTAATAGAGTAGACAAATGAAACTAAGTACATAGCACATTATTTCGCCAGAACACAGAAGTGAAGCTTTTATAACCAAAAGTAAAAATGAAAGAACACAGGATTTACAAATGGAATATTGTTTTATGTTCAAACTTATTTTTAATGTTTATAAATTTCAATCTCTGTTAATAGCTAAATATACATTCTGCAATAAAACTGGCTGATTTTAGAGACAAACAAAACATACAAAATAATCGGACAGTAAACACTTAACAAACAGTGCATTACAAGGTATTCATTCATTCTGTGGGACATTTTGGGCTATTTGTAATTGTATGTGCTACGCCGTTCTTGCGCGTGTGTGTGTGTGTGGGCTCAGTGACGAGATTTCTTCGATTTGTGTCCATGGTCTCGACTATCATCGCGCGACCGCTTGTGGCTACTGCTGCTGCTATGATGACTGCCCTTATCTTTGCTCCTGTCCTTGTGCGACGACGATGAGGAATGATGCTTGTCACGACTGCGATCATGATGTTTATCCTTGGAGCTGTTTTTGGGCAATTAAGAAAACAAAAAAGTGATCAATGCAATGCTAAGAAATAAACCGACAGTGTTGGGTGTTTAATAAATTATGAAATTTTGATGTTGTTAATCTTATAGACGCTTGAGAAAATCTTGCCAATTCGTAAAAAGTAAAAAAAATTTTWATTAGAAAAGAAATTTCAAGTTGTGTTTTGTTTAATTTGCATTTGTGGCGAATAACAAACCTATGCCCGCTCGAACTGGCATACTTGGCAGATTTTGAATGTGATGAGTTTGAAGTGGAGGCAGTACTTTTACTCTTTTTACTTTGTCGAAGTTGCACTTCACGATCTCTGCGACTGCAGTAAATTGATGTTAGCAAAATATAGAATTAAATATTTATAAGTACTTGAAAAAATTTATGAATATAGATTAGCTGAACAATAAGACATCAGTAAAAGGCAAAAATAATTCTATAATTTCAAATTAAGTAATTTAATAATTAACTTGATGCTTTTTTGAGGATAATTGGCGTTGTAACAACAGGACACATATTCGATTCTATATCTAAGCTGGGCCTATATTTCGATTACTCACCTATGTTTTGAACTTTTCGAGTGTTTCTTTGAATCAAAATGTTTGCCATTGGGTTTATCATCTGTATACTCCTGATTGCGGTCCTCCTCTGCAGCCTCACGCTCCAAATCTGACCAATCCTTACCCGACTCCTCATCAGAGCCAAGTTCTGCGAAACCAAGTTAATATTATTATATATTTCTTATTTGTAAATTTCTTCTTTTACCTTCACTATCATCGCTCTCATCCTCAGATGCCTCTGAATATTCTGAATCATCTTCATCTGACTCTTCGTCAGATTCGATATCAGTAGGCTCATACGCCTCATCCTCTTCAGATTCCTCTTCCTCATTTTCATCTTCACTACCCGAATCGGCGTCTAAGAACGTCCAACCGCCTTGCTCAAAAAATCCCTCCGGATCATCTGTGATCGTTTTCATAATCTTTGCCCAATTCAAAGACTGGATACCTTCCGAGTAGCGGATATCACACGAACTGTGAAAAAGATAAGATGTTTTAAAATTTGTACTCTTAGTAATTACAATATTTAAAGCTTACTTCAACCACTCCTTCACGTGATCTAGCAAATTCATTGGAATGGCATTTACCATAGCAACCTTTCTCTGGTAGTCTTTGAAAACGAAAATCATATCGAAATTTCGAAGATGAAACTGTACACGCTCGAAATGAACCAATTCGACATCATCGAGTGTTATAACGAATGGTGGCCACTCTGTCAGGTTCACCAAGCTGCCTGAAGTTGGCTGCAAAGTAACTGTACTGCGAAAAGGTGCACCAGGGAAACCCAATTCACGGAATGGCGTGTCGAACTCAACCTGTTGCTTGGTCATAGACTCGACTTTCTCGCAGAAACTCTTGAATGCCGTTTTCAATTTATGTCGCAATTCGCGCTCCGCCTGTTCAGCTGCTAGATCATCACGATCATGCATGTGCTGATGCTTGCCCAAATCGGTGGTGATCTCGCCAACCTCTGTATAGAATTGGACATCTACATGCTTCTTCTTGCCAAACATAATGGCGTGTTTAAGATGAAAATGCAACAAAATTATCATTTCACCATCACAGGGTTGGAAGAAAGCACTTTTAATGTTGTTATAGAGTATGTCAACTTTATCACCGCGCACAGAAACGTAGCGAAAGCCATTTGTGTGCGCCTCCAAACTACCAGTCATACGTTTGGTTACAATATTTGGACGTATGTATAGATCTTTCAGTTTAGGATTACCCTTATTCTGCGATAAAATCAGTGTATCTTGCTTGACGAGATCTTCTTTTTCACGTTCTTCGGCTTCGCGCGTCTTAAATCGTTTCTGAACTTCCTTAATAAGGCGGAAGGTATTGTTTAGATTTGCTGATGGTGCAGTTACTTCGCCGTGTTCTTTCACGTTAGAAGAACGATAGGTGCTGATGAAGAAGTAAATAAAATATTATCATATTATAAAAGCCAACTTGTTGAAACCTTATAACTTACACTTCCTTAAGGAATGTCGCCTCTGGTTGCGGGTATAGGCCGCCCTCATTGCGACCCATCGTTGCTCCCGGGTGAAAGAAATTGATACGTAGGTATGTGTACTCGCCCTCAACCGACTGGGAAATGTTTTTGATTGTGGAAATGTGGAAGGGAACTGGTATGCCAAAAATTGGTAGTATGACCGTTTCATACTTTTTGTCAACATATAATTTTAGTTCCTTTACTTCAGGTTCTCGCGGCATTTGACTGACAGATTTATAAGAGACGGTGTTCTTTCGCACTTTTTCGACTTCCTTAGATTCACCCTGCTTGGCCAAACGTTCTTTTGCTTTTTCATTCAGAAGTTGAGCTAACTCTTTTTGATGTTGCTTACGTTTTTCCTCCGTGTTAGTTTCCGTACGTAATTTATTTTCAAGTACAGCATTACGTTTGCTTCGACCAAGTATCTCCGAGCTTTTGTCTTCCTTAACCTCTTCTTTTTCATCACCATCTTCCTCTTCGCTATCATCTTTTATAAAAATTCCAATATTTTTTATCTTCTTCTTTGATGGTGTCATTATATTAGCCGGTGCAGTGTCTCCAACTAGCACAGTATCGCCAACGAATAGAGCGTATGTTTTGCCTTCCTTCTCAGAGGCTTCTGTATTGGTGAGGTTAGCTATACCAACGTTCACATTGAATACCATATTCTTCCGTACTTCAGCATGACATTTTGGTCCTATAACTATTGAGTTCTCACGAAACTCAATGCCCATGGCAAAACCAAAAGTTTTAGTAAAGTTGTCCTGTAATTTTGGCTTCTCTTTCTTTATATATTCCACTGTGGTATCGTATATTTCATTCAACTTGGCGCCAGGTTTTAAGAGTTTTAAAATTTCCTCTTGCACGTTAACAAGGAAATTGTAATTTTCTTGCATGGTATCGGTGGGGTTCACCAAAAAAGTACGTGATATATTTGAGCAATAAAATTTGTAACGCGCACCCAAGGAGCAAACAATAGCTCCAAAATGCAAATAATTTTTGTCACTTAGGGCCGAAAATTTCAAACTGTAAGACCCACCAGATTGAATGATGGGAGTATAACACATTTCTAATACCGAAGTATCTACACCAGAAACGTATTTCTTGTCGGTAAGTGCTGATTCAACACCTTCTGAGAGTTTAGAATGTTTTATTTTCTGTAAAATTAAAAATTAGATTATAATGAATACAATTATATAATATATTTGTTTGTACCTTATCAGAGTCAATAATATCCATGATTTCGTCTTTCAAATATTTGTTAAATATATCCACAGATACAAGTGATGCTTTTCGAATATTATTAATTTCAGATTCATCCTTTGTGCACATAATGTACGCTAATGGGGCACCAACGTCTATATTTTCAAAGCTCTCACTCTTTAGAGCAGCTTTCCAAGAATCACAAAATTCACTAGAAGCTAGATCTTTGGCGAATACTCCCAACGTTTTGCCTTTATTAGATGATTTCATCGCTTCTTTCAACTTATCGAAATTATCCTTATCTTTGTTATTCTAAAGTAGAATATTAATGATATTTTATTTCGTATAAATATTACACTTTTAGATGATCTTACCCTATCGCGCAGCAATAGTTTAATATCAGGAACACCATCCTCCTTACAATTTTCAATCTGCTTTAGAAATTCAATCTTTTTTTTACTTGCCAGAAAATATACTGAGTCTTTAGTAAAAATAGATATAGTATCGGTGAGTTCATAGCCCAACAGCCATATCTCCAGCGCCCGCGACTTGGAGTAAACTATATCTTCATCAACACCCACAACACACATAATGCAGTCCACTTTTTTCAATATATCATCATGTGCCAATGTTGGTTCCTGTTGTTAAAGGAATATATATTTTTAATTAATAATTCACATTTATAAGTATGTACATAAATACATCTACACATATTTCTGTGCCAAATTCACATGGTTTCGATTTTGCTCTTTATACTAACCCGCCATTCCGAATATAATCTTTTAATTCGGCGCAAAAACGTGTCTTTGTCTAAAACGTAATTAGACATTTTGCAGCTGCTGATCCTTCAGGCCAGTCACTGTATCAGCACGTTTGTTTAATAGAAGAAATGAATGTAAAATAAATTGATGATAAACAAAAGTGGTGAAATACACTTTCGCGAACTGCAAGTAAATTCACAAATTATCGCTAACAATTATCTATATATGTATTACTGATTTTAACACTATGCTCACTACAAAAATGAGGCTAAAATGCCGGTAATTTTATGCAAAAATTCCTCCAGACAACTCGCGTCTGCCAAAAATTGTTGAAAGGAAAACAGCAGCGTGAATAGAAAATTCGCCGCGAATAAAAGTTGCATGTAACTGCACTGAAAAGTAGTTTTTGAAATGTAGTTCCTAAAATTTTCAGGAAATTTTAGAAGAGATTATGTCCTTTATTGTTTTATATAGCTCTTTCCATAAGACATGTAGTCCGTTAATTAAAAATTTTGTAATATTGAGAAAAATTGTACAATTTGTAACATTGAAATGTACGTAATATTATTAGTATTTTGCTTCATTACAACCCTGACAAATCAGTCGTTTAAGGTGGCGAATTCACTGTGTTTTGTGCGAATATGTGAATTCGCGCCAAATTTCAACGACAAGTTGTTTTCGAAGGTGATAATTCTTTTAGCACACTGTTTTTCAAACTGCAACACCATTTATTTGAATAATTTTAAAGAATCGGTGGCTAAATGAAATTGGAAGAGCTTGAGCATGTAGGCAAACATCTGTATTTTGCATTCTGAGTGTGGGATGTGGATCCATTATATAAACCTATTGACAATCAAATTCTTTCAGGTTTATAGCTTGATTAATAAAGAAGTAACTCCAATTCTATGCCTTATAGCAAACCGACGTAATTTATATTAATAAGTACATATATATAGCATATAACATAGCTTACATTTGAAAAGTTCCACATTTATATATTTTAAGTAAATATATGCAGTGTGTTATCTTCAAATATGCGTAACCTCCGTTCCACACTGCATACCTTGCTTATTGGTACGAGCAGTCAAATACATTAACATCTCTAGCCAATTTTTGACGAGTGGCAACGCCGGAGGTAGTTCTCTTCGCCGAGCATTTTGTGGTTTTCGCCGCATAAAGACGCGTTCGCTGTTTCTGTTGCAGTTATTCATTTAACGAAAAAGTTTTAGCAACGCGGTAATAAACAAAAAGGAAAAGTTGTGGTTAATAGTTAATTTTATTAAAATATATTCAATAAGTGTGCTAATTATAGAATATTTGAAAATAAAATGCAGTCACATAGCAAAAAGAGGGTTTGCTATTACTACGACAGTAAGTAACTAAGAAATGTGTTCATTTGTTTGCTTAAGATTAATAAAAGTTACACTTAAAAGCTTATTGGATAACAGATTTAGAAAACTTATAGCGAATACATGTGAAATACAGCTTATGTTTTTGTCAAAAAAATATACAGTGAATAAAGCAAATTTTCTGTTTTGCGAAATTTTGTAAATCGCCGGTTTTATCTGGACTGTACCCTGGCGCTAATTTATCAGCGTACTTTGTATGAAACGACCATACTTTCGCTGTACATACGTATATGCGCTCCGCTACCGACTGCACGTATTCTCTCAACATTAGCCGGTCGTTCTTTGTAATACTGCGGTCGATTTAAAGATTGAAAAGTGTGCTCAGATATGCACTCGTTGACTTTCGTGTTATAGGTCGAAATTTACGAGTCAGTAATGTTTTTTGTATCTACATTCAAAAGTATTTAATATTACAGCTTGATTCTTAATTCAATTTGTTTCTTAACCATAACAATAAAATTGAGAGCAAACAAAAGTGATAAAATTAGATGGCTATATATTTTGAAAATTATACTAATGCAATTTCTATATGTTTTAGGTGATATCGGAAACTATTATTATGGGCAGGGCCATCCAATGAAACCCCATCGCATACGCATGACCCACAATCTGCTTCTGAACTATGGGCTCTATCGCAAAATGGAAATTTATGTGAGTACTAATCATAAATTTATGTTTAAAATATTTTACAAAATACCATTTTTATAACAGCGACCGCATAAAGCAACAGCCGATGAAATGACGAAATTTCATTCAGATGAATATGTACGATTTTTGCGCTCTATACGCCCCGACAACATGTCGGAATATAACAAACAAATGCAGCGATTCAATGTAGGCGAGGATTGTCCTGTATTTGATGGACTCTATGAATTTTGTCAATTATCTGCAGGTGGGTCGGTAGCTGCTGCAGTTAAGCTGAATAAACAAGCGTCGGAGATTTGTATTAACTGGGGCGGTGGTCTTCATCACGCCAAGAAATCTGAGGCTTCCGGCTTCTGCTATGTCAATGATATTGTGCTAGGTATTTTGGAACTTTTAAAATATCATCAGCGCGTATTATACATTGATATCGATGTACATCATGGCGATGGTGTTGAGGAGGCCTTTTACACCACCGATCGCGTGATGACGGTGAGCTTCCATAAATACGGTGAATATTTTCCTGGCACTGGTGACTTGCGAGATATCGGCGCAGGTAAAGGCAAATACTACGCAGTTAACATTCCACTGCGTGACGGCATGGATGACGAGGCGTACGAGTCGATATTTGTACCTATAATATCTAAGGTAATGGAAACCTTCCAACCGGCAGCTGTTGTCCTACAGTGCGGAGCTGATTCCTTAACAGGTGACCGTCTTGGCTGTTTCAACTTGACTGTTAAGGGTCACGGCAAGTGTGTGGAGTTTGTGAAAAAATATAATTTGCCTTTCCTTATGGTCGGAGGTGGAGGTTACACCATTCGTAATGTGTCAAGATGTTGGACGTATGAAACGTCAGTTGCACTCGGTGTTGAAATAGCTAACGAACTGCCGTACAACGATTACTTTGAATATTTCGGTCCTGATTTCAAATTGCATATTAGTCCGAGTAATATGACCAATCAAAATACATCAGAGTATTTAGAAAAGATCAAAAATAGGTAAAACGTATTAATTAATTTATTTTATGCACTTATTTTTTAAATTACTTGTTTTCAGACTCTTTGAAAACCTGCGTATGCTGCCGCATGCCCCTGGGGTACAAATCCAGAGTATACCAGAGGATGCTATAAATGATGAGTCTGAAGATGAAGACAAAGTGAACAAGGATGAACGAATAACTCAGAGCGACAAAGATAAGCGCATTGACCCTGACAATGAGTTCTCAGATTCAGAAGATGAAGGGGAGGGCGGTCGTCGTGACAATCGTTCATATAAAGGCCAACGCAAACGGCCACGTCTTGAAAAGGATGTCAAAACAACAACAGAAAATTCCGACAATAAAGATGATAAGGATAAAAGTAAAAATGCTTATTTATATTCACGCAAGGCAATTTTTTTATAAATCAACTTGTTTTTTTTTTACAGTGGACACAAATGAAGGCGAGGATACTCCTAAAGCTGAAGACTCGAAGAAAGAAAACAACATATGACGTGGCGGTCGCAATTGGTTATAGAAACCAATACAGCGGTCAACGAAATTTAAACCCAAGATCTTCTAACATCTTTAGCAACTTCTTCTTCCATTTACCCTTACAATATATGTGGCGGTAGTAATGTGTTCGGTGTGGTAGAAATTCGTTGCTCAGGGATAGTGGAATTGAAATAGATACGCTGCCGTCAAAAATTAATTTTAGTCACTTCGTACTTCTAGTAAGTTAGTTAAGTTTATGCACTATTAAAACATCTTACATGCCGAAGTATATTTACATGAAATACTTACACCAGCGTTCAATGAGGAGAAGAGATTTTTATTTAAATCTTTGTGACTAGATGACTTATTTTTGCTAGCTGCTTCGAAATTGATAACAGTAATTTACGCTTTTTCCTAACGTAAATGTTTGTATTTATATGTCATTGCTGTGTGTACACGTGGAATTACACCCGTTCTGTCACACTGTCACATTAAACTAACAAGAGTGTAAAATATATACTTTTTTGTATAAAATATAAGAATGCGACGTAAAAAAAAAACAACTACTTACATAGTCTGCATGTAACTTGAATTTTCTCAAGTCTAAAATCGTAAAAATAAACTGAGTGTTTTATAAGTGGATACAAACTATACTCATGACTTTCATCTTATGGTTGACAATTTTTCGATTGCTGTTGTGCCACTTTTCTACTAATTCAGCAAATATTTTTTGGTCCATAAGGCTTTTGCAATCCCACCAATGTTGATTGCTTACCAACGCTTAATGTGTCCGTGCGGCGCATAGATTCAACGAAAAGATTTTCGTTGCCAACCTGATAGGATATTGGTAAAAATGCCCTTTCTTGCAAGCTCATCGGCTTTACAGTTTCCGACAACTCCGCCGTGGCCAAACACCTAAACATGTTCTATAAGAAAGGAGCTTATTGCTATAGCTAGTGAGATCATGCACTCCTTGACATAACAGTAGTCTGGTAGTCTGAAACTGAGAGGTCCCGATAGAATTTACCCGACAAATACGCATTAGAACTGTATTGGGTTTGCTATAGTTTCGCAAAAACCAAATCACAAATTCTGTGGAGAGACCCAACGTTTCCTAATAACTCCTATAAGACATCTAATGTCTTCCTTACTTTGGACTTCTACTAGCTATCACTTTGAGAAACCCTTGAGTTAACTCGTAAACGGTATCTAGGAACCTTTAACCATGAGAGCAAATTCATCTGCATACGCTATCACCCGACAGCCTCGGCCATTATTGAGTTCTTTCAATAGGTAATTTACCACCAAGATTCTGAGTAAAGGAAACAGAACTAAATCTTACGGGTTGCTTCCATTGATCTTCCGTAGAGCACGTAGATTTTCCCAACTACGTCATGACAATTATTTTGCAGAGAAGACAATATACATTTGAGATGCTTGGGGTTCGATTCGACTTCAAATATCTCTATGTTGCCTCAATGCCGAAAAATGTGCCCACCGCATATCCCTTAAGCATGAGGGTTCCTCTAATTACGACACAACGCCAGACCAGTGCCTACGAATCTGCTTTGGTGTATTAATGTTAAGTCCCAAATATTATGTGTCTCGGTATACTGCCTACCGATCTTCAGAGTCTTCAACAAAAACGAGGATAAGCTAGTAAACCTGTATCTTTGGCAGAGAGAGGCACCGGAAACCTGAATTGTTTGAATGAATTTGACGGCGCTCGTCCAGAAGATGTAAAAAAGCTGTACCTCTGCCTGTTGAAAACTACTAAAAGTGCGATGATTAAAAAAATTCCTCAAGGAT